TCGGGCATTCTCCATCTTCTGGTTATTTGCAAATTTTCAAAGAGACTAGTACCCGAAGGAAAATTAGGCTTCAGCATACAGTACTACAGTATTACTAACAGGAAACCCAGCGAGAAGTGTTCTATGAAAGGATAAATCCGGATTCGACGATCCAGACGTTATTTCTTCGTCGACTGTGTTCATCTGTTGGAGTGTTCACACCTTCGATCAAATTTTCCCTGTAACTCCAATGTGAAAAGTTTAACCACTTAACATTTTTGTCCAATAAACAGGAAAAAGTCATCCAAAGCAGTAAAAAATTTTTAACTTTGAGACACATTAAATAACAATGCAGGACAAAGTATGGCAAAATCTTTTGGGATGGAATAGATTCCCAAGGGCAAAACAAACAAGTACACATATTGTACACACAATTTATTAAACAATCCTTAGAAAGAGAAACGAACAATAGGCCTGCTTTTGAAAAAAATATTATACAGTGGGCCCCCGACTTACGACGGGCCCATGTTACGTCAGTTTCAACTTACGACGCTTTTTTAAATATAAAAAAACCCCCAACTTACGTAGGTAATTTTAGTTTGATATCTTTTTTCTGGAACAAATTAATTTTTTTATAATGTAATCTTAAGGGAAATAGGGTTTCAACCTACGACGGCCCCATGTTATGACGTCCATCCTGGAACGGATTGATGATGTAAGATGGGGGCCCACTGTATTACAGTGGGACCTCAACGTACATGGGCATCCCATCGACAATTTGACTTAGGAATACTTGAAACTTCAAAAATATGCTGCTACATCCGGACAATGACTCAATATACAGACTCTTATCCAACATTTCTAGAGAGATTGCAAAGTTTTGTTTCTCTAAATTTTGATGTTTCTAAAAGAAATTGAGCTATTTACATTCACAAACACTGTATTAAAATATATTTTAGTATAAAATTACTCAGTATAAATTCACAATCGAAAAGGCTAAGTTTCTCCTAATTTTGTTTCCAAACATATGATGGCAAAACTGTTCACTTTTTTCAGATTCAAAGTATATAGCCAATACAAGTATCTCTTAACATATATTGGAGTAAATTGATGTGGCAGATCACCCTTGGAATGCAGTGCATTCCAAGACATCCTGTGATTTTAAAATGGCCATTTTATTGAGAGCAAAATCACTTTACCTCATAGTTACACATGAATAAATCAAGCAATTTTGATCAACTATGCTCTCTACATGGACTACAGACACAAATGTGCCCCAACCCATGGTCAATGTGCCCCAACCCATGGTCTATGGACTGGCACCATTCCACAAAAGTTTTTGGCCAGTCCGGGAGAATTTTTTTTAAACATAATAAATGTATCAAAAAATTAATGAAGGACTTTATCTGAAAATTCTGCATGACAATTGTAGTTGAAATTATCTCATGAAAAATATAAGTTAGCTTTTCTCCTAGTAAAACTTTGGACAAATTTGCACCCAATGAAATAAATTATATAAATGTTTCATTCTGAGAAATTGTTCTCCAAGCCCACCTTTCTGATTTTATTGAAGACATTTCAACCACAGCTGCTTCATTGGTTCTTGACTTAATTTTTTCACGAACAAGCAGAAATATTTTCAATACCTGCCATTAAGTATTTCAGGCAAAACTTTTTGGAGTGTGCAAAAATTTTACAAAGCATTGCCGGTGCGCAGAACATTTTTTAAATTTGTCAGTCTGCAAAAAACCTTTCCGAAAATTTTCCAGTCTGCAGGCCCAAAAAGGTTGAGGAACACTGGTCTATACCCAGCAGTCTACAGAACATCATTCATCTTTACAAACAATGCAATTGAATATGATGCAGTAAATTTTATTACAGCCAAGATCAATTCGTCACGCTTCACGCACCACTGATGAAACAAAAACTTCTGATTTAACGCCAATATCACAGTCGAAATTTCCGAAGCTCACTATCCTTTCGGATTTAAAAAAAAAACTATAGAATACGGCGACTCTTCAAATGTAGAAAGATTCAAGTATGAGCAGTATGCATCAATAGAAGGCCAGGGGTTGGGCCATAAACAATTCTTCAAGTCTTTAATACTGTATCCCTGTACAGAGAATCGTTGCAAAGAAGGTCCATCACATCTGACGACCATGGAATCTCTGAAAGTACAGGACACGGAAACCGTTGCGGAATGAAACGGAATTTTTTGAGTTTAAATTGTCAATAAGTCGAAATGTCTGCGATTTTCCACAAGCGAGATGGATGGCAAGCATCGGTAAACTCCGAAAAGAATTCCCCACAGTTTCCGAAAAAAAAGGAATTTGCAGGTCTCAAAATCCAGGATCCTCCGTGCCAGAAAAATAAATGGAAGACGAACGAAACCGAAGAATGGGTCACGGGGCAGATATGGCGAGAGTCTCCCTCGAATTCAGTCGAACTCGAGGAGAAATTTCGGCACAACTTCTTCTATCTTCTCTATATCTCTCTCTTTCTTCCTCTTTGAGCAGTTAATCAAGCGAGGAGAGAAAAACTTACGCAACTGCACGACTGTCCCCGAGCCCGTGGCATGCCTCGCATGATCGCGGAACCCCGCGTTGATCGCGGGGCTCCAAGGCATGCAGTCACTCCATGACCTGCCGAAATCGTGGCCTCTCCGGGCCCCGGATGTACAGTGGGAGTCAGACGCGCCTGTCGACTAGTGGCTGCAAGAGGAACGCGCGAGACCCCGGACTACCGAAAGGAAACGTGTTGTGTTTCAACGGAAGCGATAACGCGGCATAAAATCCGGACGCGACTTCTTCTCCTGTGTATCTGCTTCTTTCTCTCGAGTGTGACGGGAGTGATGCTTATGGGAGAAGTTTTCTTGTCTCATGCTGTACCCCCCCCCCCTCCCCCATTCCGCTTCGGCGTGAACTCAGCGCGGAAGGAGGAAAAATACATGACATGCACCTGTCGACTGTCATCCCGTGTTTTCCCGTCGGCTTTAAGCGCAGTTGGCTTCTGGCGGTAAAAACAGTGAGAAAAAACTAGTGTTAGCGGTGTCAGCTGTGTGTCCATATCGGTTCCCGTTCGAGTGAAGTGCTTTGAATGCACGATCATGTGTGAACCTTTCCTTCGCGTCCCGGCGTTGAGTTGTTTTTTATTTTATTTATTTATTTTTTTTCACACACTGTTACCCGCGCTGTATGAGGCACGGAAAAGTTACGGAGAAGTTGTCCCACCGACAAATGACAAAGTAGATAAAGAGCAGGGTTAGGGGATTCGAAAAGTTTTGGATGTGTATCACGCTAACTTCTCCATCCACTTATACTAAAATCTTCGTCCCACAAACACTGGGGCACCTTTTTCATTATCCCGCCAATCAGAAAAATGAATAACGCCCTGATTGAACGATTTCCATGCAGGCCATATATTCTGAATTAAACGCGTGGAACTCTCTAGGAAGATAGTCGTAGAATTCAGAGCATGCCGTTGACTATGATTTCGTGGAAGATGAAAATATGCTTAATATAACTGCGAAAATGTGAAGGAAAACATTCGAAGTTCTTTGTGCAACGGATTTTCTCAGAAATATATATGTTGTTCGTGAATGCAAATTGAATGCGTCTCGCTCGTCTGATTCCCTTGGAGGAACAAATCGAAAAAACTTGTGGATTGTTCAAGAAGAGCCAATGTGCTTGAACAAATAATCGTAATCACAGTATAATGAATGGGCCTTGCCTTTTTTGCGCTGCTGAAGAAGTTTCTCCCATTACTGCAAAACAAGGACATTTCCTCCCTGTCAAAATATTTAGTTGAGGAGCTATTCCGAGAAAGTTAGTATTGACAACTTTCTATTACAGGTCACTGGCAAAAAAAAAACGAAACCGAGTCGATTGAAATTTATTTCCATCTGTTACTACTTAATTCTTATGAACATCTACAGGGATTGCTATACGTTTATGTTACATAGAAAATCATGATTTGCAAAGAACTGGTTTACCTTCTCAGTTTGTATGACTATTTCCCCCGAAATTTTAGTTCCATTGCCAATAACAGCCGCAAGAAGGAGAAATGTGACCACTTTTTCAGCAAAAGTTTTTCAATACAAAATGACGATAAACAGGGCATATTTTTTCAATGACATCTTATACGAGTATTTAATGGAATCTTCCGCACGTTGGATGGCTCCTTGATTGTACTGTATTTGAATGAATGAAGATCGCTTATTTCAAACTTGAAAAAATAAGAATATAAAGGCTTCAAAAATGACTGATTCCAATTTTAATCACTTATTCATGGCAAAAAAAAAAAGAGAAAACGAATACCCTGCAGCAACAATGCCCTAGTAAATGACGGAAGTAAATTGAACTATCCGATTTGCTTACCAATTGTTAATCTTCCGTGTAACATGTTGAAAAAATTTCATGTAAAGTATTCCAAAAAGAGGCAAAAGAAGACCGTGCTGCAAGTGAAGTTCTTCACGACAAAAGTAACGAAAAATGACAAATGGTACCGGACGAGCTTTCCATAAAATCCACTGAATCAGGTGGAAAATGAGAGAGATTTCCCTAAGATCAAGGAAAATTTCATTACATTTTGAGAAATAAAATAAAAAGATGCTCATTAGAATCAATGACGCAAGAGTGTGTTACATCCGAGTGAATGCGATAGCTGAAAGATAGACATTTTCATTGGTTTCAATGGGTAATAAAAAAAATAGCCAGAATTATGAGGAGATCCATTATTTTTTCGTCTGGTAAACCCACGACTTCCTCAAAATAAATCCTCGTTCATAGACCCCACCAACAAGTGCCGCCAAAGACACATTTTGCACACGAAATTTTCCGGGCTAAAAGTTTCTCGAGGATTTAAAAAATGCAATTCACGACGGAAACACGCGAGGCCACGAGGTGAGAGATTTTCCGGCCTCGCTTCACGCAACTGGAGAGTTATGCGTTCATTAGACTCTGACACGGAGACGGATGAGCACTCAGGATTTAGTTTGTCCGTGTTGCTAAAGAACGCGCACCTTTCGACTAAGTTCAAGCCCTTGTACTCTAATCAATCAACATTGTGTCACGAACTCCAGTCGCTGAAAGTGTGTTCAAAAAGGGATCTGTGAACAGCGTCGCGCTTCCGCCCGCATCCCACCGAAGCAACATGGACGACTTTGCAGTCACTCGCCTCCGATCCAAGCGCCTCAAATTCCGGAGCCACTATGACGAAGACAAGGCGCTGTGCTATGCAAAATTTTGGCAGGAACCGCCTCCGACGCTGATTTCCCGCATCATTGACTATCTTCGTGAAGAGGTTTGTATAATGAAGCCGCTTAACCCTTGGACAGCTAAGTTGGACTATTTTCTCGAAATTTTGTTTCACCTCAGAGAGGTGAAGAAAATAATGACAACAGGGGGTTGAGGGTGAAGTTGGGAAAAATCCTGATGTTTTTTTCCCCTTGGTGCAGACAAATTTTGCAGGAAAATACAAAAAATACTCAGTCAAGCAACAGGCTTTCCTCAGATTAATCCTGACTTGGCCTCAGCCCACCTGGAAGGGGTTTCCTGACCTTCAAAAAACTTAAAATGCCAGAGGATACAAAAATAATCTGACTCTGTCCTGCAATGGGAAAGAACCCTCTGCTGTCGAAGGGTTAAAGCACAGGCAATGCAGAATTGCCATTTTGGCATGCTGCGATTTAACAAAAATGTGCTTAGCATTGATTAAACTTGTTTGTGTGCTTCTTGGATAGTTATTAGTCATGCGGCCATACAGTATGCCTATGGCATCTACATCAACCCACACATTCATATCTAATCCCGTTTCGTTGGAAGGCAGGTGCTTTGGGCCACTGTTCCCCAAACTTTTTTTGCTCTTGGACCGGCAAATTGTAATAAAATATTTTGCGCACTGGCGAGTTGTCATGAAATAGCAGACCAGCAAAGTTCCATACCATTTTTGAAGATCAGGGGAATTTTTCAAATAACTGCCATAAAGTCCTCAAAACGAACTTGTGTTGCAAAAATTCAGTCAAGAACCAATGAGCAGCTATATATTGGAATGTTTGAAAAAAAAATCAAAAGCTGTGCTCCAAGAAAGGCTTCTCAGATTTAAAACTGAGAATAATCCATTTCAGACAGGTTAAAATATTTCTGAAGCGTGAAGTGTAACAAGAAGAAAATCCAACTTTTTTTCTCAGGTAATTTCAACTGCCATTTTCCCAAAAATTGTGGATAATTAATATTAACAGGCTTCATAACTACCTTCTCTAAATGTTTCATGGCGAAGAAATTTTTCCGCGGACCGGCAGAAAACTTCTGCGGACTGGCGCCGGTCCGCGGACCACGGTTTGAGAAAAACTGCTTTAGGCTGCTTGAAAAGCAAACCAAAAAGGGTAAAAACATGAATTAGGGGTACCCAGAAACCAACAAAGTCTCTCTTCTCTGAAAATAATTGACAACATTTTCTGCATTTGTTCTCTCGGCGTCAAGAGAAAAACGAAAAGAGCAGGAGCATCAAAATGCGGCATAGAAATCCCGCAGTGCAAAATTCCAACCTTCTCTCAGTGTGAGTCAAATTCACCCTAGAATAAAAAAAAAGTTTTCATTTATTTACGGAGCTTCAAGCAGTTTTTCCTCTTACGAAAAAAAATCCTTCGGAGTCCAATTTTTCCCAAATGATTTTTCAGCAGAAATTATTTTCTTCCACGTAAATTCCTGTGCTGTTACGAATTTTTATTGATGAACAAAATGTAGATGGTACGTCGAATATTTGTTACGGTTCTTGCCAGTAAATTTCTGCTGCGGAGAAGTTTGACAGCAATCTATTCGGAAACGGTTAAATTCTATATGAGAATCAAAATACCCTCAAAACGCCAAAAAGATTATGGCCAGTTCATGGCAGTAAGAAGAGGTAACAGTACATTATGTTCATTTCTTTGTCCCCAGAAAATCCAAAGATAAATGAGTGGGAAGGTTTACCACGAATTGTTTTGTGAATTTACCTCACAAAAAGAAAGAGTGATTATTGTGGAAAAATATGGTAGCAAATGATATTGTTGCAAGGATAAGAGACCAGCAGGCATTCTTAAGCATCCGCAGTAATTCTTGACATTCGTTTCAGTGGGAGGCTGTCTTCGATTTTCCTCAGAAAAGCTCAAGGAGTTTCTTAAAAAGCTCAGTAATCACCTACAAATTTGTAACCAATTGATATTAAAAAATAAATTAACCTCTTCTTGGACTTAGTTGTATGCATTATCACAAAAATTGTATCCTGTTCTTACAACTATGAAAAATGGTGAGACTGATTTTTACATTTGTTTCAAGGATCATGAAATGGCCAGCATAACTGGTAATAGATTTTTTTTTTTTTACTTGGAGAAAATTTCCCGTGAATGAATAACAAATGTTTGTGGACCGCGGGTTGAAAAATACTGTACTGCTTCAGACAATTTTCTGACTGTAGAACGATAATTTTTCCGAGTGCAAGAACCTTCTGGGGAAACTTTACAGGGAAGAAGTAAATTTAATTTGTTTCAATTTATAGGTCAACCACGAATTTTGCAAATGTCCACTCTTTTTTGGGTCCACGCCACCCCCTTCCCTCTTGAATCGGGATGCGATCGAAACCCACACGCGTGAATATGTCAGATTCTCTAGACACTTTACCATACTATCCAGATGAAGAGAGTAGATGAGAGGATTTTAATTAGAAACCAAACTAAAGAAGCTCCGACCTAGGCAAAAATTAGAGGGCTGGAAATCGATTAGCGAACCCCGCCGTGCCCGCCCACGTCATGATTTCAATCCGAACTCCCTTGCGGATGCGAGCAATTTCCTCGCGGCAAACACGTGCCCTGCTTGCACACGCTTCCACGACGAATATCTTCACTAACCTCGACGAGCACGGGATGTTTGATTAATTAAGCGACCAAGAGTCGGAGGAGGTCTCCGATATAAAGACCCGAGTTCCCCTTGTATTCGTCTTTGAAGCTTTGCAACGCGGAGGATATTAAAATCATGTCGCCGCGGCAAACGTGACCGGAATACCGGCCCTGTAAGCTCGGTTAAGCCCATCAGGAAAAACGCGATAAGCGTTTGTCTTGCATCATTACATCAATCCTCCGCGGTGGACACAGGCTCAGCGATGCGAGACACCTAATTTAGTGAGTGCCGGACAGTATTTATCCACCGGGACATATAAGGCATCTTCCTATAGCTCGCACTTTGTTACCGGGGAGGTTGGAGAAGCCCTTGTATTGGAGTGAAGAACGCCTTTCTGCGGCTTCTCCGAGAGCAGTCGCCCTCGAAAAAATGTTCCGCCGAAGTAGATATCGCGTTTGTATGCGAATCCGGTGCCAACACCGGCGAGACTCTTACACATTTCCGCCGGGAGTGGTGTGTAATAACCACGAAACGCTTTCTCGGGCCTGGCCCCAGGGTGAAACCTGCTTAACCTCGCGCACGAGCCTGTTCGTCAGATTCTGCGGACTTCTCGCACCCGGGATTCTGGAGACCGAGTCGGGGATTTATCCTCGGTAACAAGGAGGAAATTCATAAGGTGCAGTTTTTTCTCAATGAATTACGACGGGTTATTCGGAATTCTGACCTACACTTTTTGGAATGGAGTTCGTCAGGAACAAGGAAGTTTCTCGGACAGAATCCTGAAAACCAGAGAGCTTCTCGACATTTTTTTTAAATCTAAGGGGCCATATTTGACAGCAATGTGTTCGGCGGAGCCTGTATCAAAATAAATGTTTGTCGCGGAGCACCGAGGTTATGCCAAGTGTCCTTCGAATGATTTTTGTCAAGCCTTTGGAAGACAATTATCTGGATATGTCGCTTACGTCGAGTGACATGCATAAAATTCCTCTTGAAATCACCCCTATTTATCCATAATTTAATTTAATTTATGTTTCTTTGATATTTCCGGCCGTGGAGTCCCCGCGGGAAGTTAACATAAATCCGTCAAGACTCCGGGGTAACACACAAGCTGGGAAACTGCTGCAAAACTCCGTGGGATTTTCAGCAATGCTTCAAAATCATCCGACCATTTGTGAAATATTCTCTTGATTTGAAGCATTCCTTGGGAAACTTCTTGCTCATCACTTGACATCTCAGGGTAACCCTCGTATTCAGAACAGCATCCACAACTCAGAAGCTGCCAGATTAGAAAGATATTCATTGGAATATGGTTTCTTTGAAATCTTATCCCTGGAAATAATCTTGAATTTTTTTTAATGTTTGGTGCCCTTTCAGTGACTTCCTTAATTCATAAAGCATACGAGTTCATCGCGTAAACCTCATTTCCTCGATGCAATGAGGCGCACTTCTAACTTTCTGTCTTCTCTCATTCCAACCCCGATGGAAAAATTCGGAAAAAATTGGGAAGCAATCAAAATAACTCTGAGGGAGTACAAAACCGAGAGTCCAGTTTCATCTATTCGGGGGGACAAGTCACGAATGTTTGGAAAAACGTGCGAACAAACCCTCATCCGCCATTACTACCGAGAATTCCTTGGCAATAAGCAGCTGAATTCAAAAACATGAAAAAAGACAGAAAATTATAATCTATACAAGTGGATCTTGATAAAAACAACACTATGTTGTATATGAGACGTGCAGTAAACTATATTAAAAGAAGAGATTATCGGCAATCACGCAAATGGAAGCATCATATAGTCGAGAACGTATTTGAGCATTGAGACACATGCCCTGGGGCTGCATCAGCTAAAAGACGTCGTATTGATCTTCTGATTTCTTTACTCCGATGGGTATTACCAAGAATCCTAAAATCAAATGCAGCACAGTACAATGTATCACGGAAAAATTTCCTGGGGAACAGAATATGCCAATTATTTCCCGGAATGCGGCGAATATTGGGGTTATTTTTCATCTGATAAGTGAAACAGTCCTGATTTTATAAAAAAAATGGTTTCCACTAGGATTTAACATGGGACAAGACTAACAGTAGTGCTCACTTATGTCGATTTTTATTCTAAAATTCGGTACGATTTGTCGTGCAGCTGCGCTGCCAGAAAAACTGAACCAGGTCAGCACGAAAAACGAAGCTGCTGTTCCGAAACTTTTTTTTACGAGTATTTGAACATGGCTAACCATAGAAAAAACTTGATTTTAAAACACGAATCATTTCATTTCAGTCGTCCTTGTGTGTCACTGGAAAAAGCCGATGTCGTGACATGTTCACGGCCATTTTATTTCAGTAGCCATGCAGTTTACCGAATAATATCCTAGAAAACCAGACGCGACAGACCTCCTTCCTATCAATTATCCCAGTTACAGATGCCCACATTAAGTTCAAGAAATCGTCATCAATAGTTGCTCCTCAGTCCTCCATCCGCAACCGGAATCTGTGACGAAGAACTTGACGTCCTTTCAATTATACTAGTCCAGTCTTATGCAAAATGGCCTTCACGAAAAAATATCTGCTGCTACGCATTCCGGCGTTGAAGTTAAACGCGGAGCCACGATTTTTCGAAATCTTGACGTATACCGTTGCTTTAAAATTCGTGATGATTGGCCTTCAGCCTGTATGTAGAGGAAAAATATAGGTCGAAGTTTCAGGCTCTCTTATTGGAACTATTTTGTGTTGAGAGCCGGGCCCCAGGCTTCAGGAACCGACGTCTTTAAGGGACGGGCTCAAACCAGCATGTCGATTGTTTCATTTATGGACATCATTTTGTAAATTTATGGACCAAGCGTCGCAACCAAGATGTCGCAAATCGACGTGCTTGGTTCAATGACGGTTGGGCAAGAAACGAGGGAATCAATTTTTAATCAGTCATCTCCCTCGAAGGCTTCGAGCTACCACCTTAAAAAGGACTTTAAATTGAAGTCGAGTCACTGAATTCATAATGATAACGAATCGCAGCCGTGGATGTCCATCATACTGATTAACAAAGTATACTCATGAAAGAAATGCTGTCAACTTGCCGGATCACATTTGCATCTTCAGTCCGTTAGTTTTCCGAGTTCTAGAAGTTACTCCTGTTAACGAATCAGGCGTACTCATCGGAAATATTTTCAGCATAGCCTCGAAATCTTACAGCAATTATTGATTCCCATACGTCAATCTATCCTCTAACCTGGTGTACCCGTTTAAATGCAGCAAGTGAGTTATTTTTTTTGCCGCGTACTTGGAATTCCCTAGCATAAATGAATGGGGAATAGCTCAGGTGGATGTAATCTTTTATATCGAGTATATGTGATTTCCTGGCCCTTTATTGTTCACGCAGGTTAAAATGTAGAGAAGAGAGTCGGAAAGGGCTCCATCGTTACGGAGAAATCACGTTTGCCTTTCACGCTTGAATGCCGAAAGCATTTTCAGGCAGTTCAAGCGTAAACGAATACAGTACTGTACTGTACTTAAAATCACTGAAATGTGTTTAAAGTAATGTCGTGAATCTCATGTCCAAACGAATATTGTAATCTCTAAGATTCTCGCGTTATTAATGCACGATATTGCTTGGAAACGAAATCCGTACCAGATGAACGGAGCATTTACTTGAATATTTTTTTCATTGATCCCACGGCGATTTATGGGATTCTATATACGATTTTTGAGATTCTAAATAAGTGGGCTACCAGATAAAGTAATATAAAGTTTTAAAAATATTTAAATTATCCTTCTAATTGATGATGAGCTCAGGGTACCCCCGCGGATAAGATCCCGAGTGGTTCTTTCATGAATACAGTATATGTGTGATTTAAATTAGGTTCGGAGAACCAGTGTGAGCTTTTATCCGACTCCTGCTGACAAGTTTTCGATTTTCCAATATTCCTCTTAACCTGAAGTCGAGCTAGTCGATAATGATCGTGCTCTCCAGCAAATTATGTCTGGACTTTTCAACTACAGTATATGCAATGGGACATGGCACTTGTCGGGTGGTACGCGAGATTCTCCTGATGAGGAAAAGGAGAAAAGCTTTCGAAGAAGTGATAAATCGGTTTAAAAAGTACCAGGATGATGTGGATGGGAGATTCAGTAATTAAAATGCCAATCGAAGCAATGAAGAAGACGGAGCAAATTAAAAAAAATTAAACAAAGAAATCCAAGAAATTAGATACAGTTGAACCTCGATAACTGGAACCTCGCTCCGCAGTCGAATTTTTTTAAAGTCCTCGTCTGAATTCCCTAAAAGCAATGCATTAAAAATCTCCAAAGCAATTGAAGGCATTTCCTCTCAAACTTCCATAACTTGAATTTTCTGAGGCCTTTTGGCTATTGTTCTCTTGGCATAGGAAAAAGAAAACCAATGAAAAAAATAAACGATGTGTTTTTAATGGAAGTTAAAGACTAAGTGGGCAAATTAACCCCTGCCTCCAAGTTCAGCATCCTGTCAACTCATTCAAGAAGCAATTTAAGTCCCAGAACATCAACATGCACAATTTCCTGCAATTCTTCTATCTTTTTCACAACAAAAAGGCTTGTTTAGTTGTTTCCCCAACTCGAATTTTTTCTGGTCCCTTGAAATTAGATTGTACAGTATATGATTTTTAATTGTATGTTGCCTTGGACTTTTAAATAATTACTTATCAAGTAAAATGTGGCTAATTTTAGGTGATGTCGCGCGCGATATTCGGTAGCAGTTGGAAGGATTTATGCAAGCACTGCCATGTCTAGAAGATGGTGCATCACTGCATAAAAAAAAGGCTGGAAAGCCCGAATTATGTGCAACAACGGGAGTATGAAGAAGTTAAAACCGGCGGTTGTCTGGAACCTAGATGAACCCCGTCACGACCTATAGCATAAGCCGACTATCCGTTTTGTCATGAAGGACGTCTGAGAGCCCGTTTGATGGGTTGCAGAGGACGTCGAGGCCGTTTCCCTCCCTGACATCGCCAGCGCGTGTCAGGAAAACATTGCCGGTGACGTGTAATCTTGTATAGTTGAGAAAAGCCT